CAAAATTATCTTTGGATGGGTCATTTATCATAAAGTATGAGAAAGTTATGCTTGGTCAAAGTTGAGTTGACTTTTCATGCAAAACCCTAATTTAGCAACTTTTGGTTCTTGATGAATTATGAGCAATCCTTGATGTATCATGATCAAAACTTGATCAAATGATGAATAATAATTCAAAATAAGGATGTTTACCAAAAATCTTGAAGTTTGACTGTATGTGGGCCACAGTTGACTTTTGCCCTAGTATAGTCGATTTTCAGGCCTTTGAGCAATTTACTGAGCAAACTTCCTCTGCAAGGCTTGAAACTTGACATGGATGATCTTGAGAACATATTAGGACAATGATGAGCCTTTAGAATCCCTTGGACTCAAGTATCTTGATGCAACATGAAACCCTAATTTGAGGTAGACGGCCCTAGGAGAGAGTTTGTCTGGTCAACCCTTGGACTTCCTTGAGCAATTTGAGGATCTCACTTGAAATGTATTGAGAAATATGAGAGGGCAAATTTTGGGGTACATCACCACACTATTTTTTCAAAATCTATTTTAAATTAATATTTCAGTGCTTTATTCACTAATGACCATATCATGCACATTACATTAGATCCCTTGAATTTGATTACTAACGCATTTTGACAATGATCAAATGGTCCATATTTTTTTGGTTTATTATTTTATTTTCTGATTTTTGTTTTAATTATTTTAAACTTCAAAAATTCATAAAAAAATTCAATTGAACTTCTAAAATTGTGAAAAAATTATCAAAAATACTTTTTATTTTTTATTTTTTCACAATTTTATTTTGTGATGTGCTATTTTTTATGATTTTTCACTTTATTTGATTTGTTTTAATTGTTTAAAAATAATTTTTAATCATTTTAAATTATGGGAAAATTATTGAAGGATCCAATGATCTCTTGACAAATATTTGTAATCTCATTTTATTTTAATTTTTGATTTTACTATTTTTACAAATTTTGGCTGATTTTTCTTATTTCTTTATATTTTAAAAATAGTTCCTGACTTTAAAAAAATTCGTCAACACTTGTTGACTCATGTTTGACCTCTGATATCTTTTTAGGATTTTTATTTGGTGTATTAATACATGTTGTGTATTTTACCAATTATTTTCTTTTTATAGATCATTTAAATTTAGTTTTTATATTAAATATATTTTGTTATTTTTTTATTGGTCCTGATTTGGAGATACTTGAGTATTATTTTAGGATAAGTTCCTCAACCTCATTGGATCTTTGGATGTTCATAGGTTAAAAAACCAAATCCACCAAAATGGATGAATGATATTGATGATATTTAAAACCCTAATTTCATCTAATACATTGGTTACACTATCATTCTCCTCCCTCTTCATCTCATCCCTTTCTTGTTTTTACTTGTGCTACATGTTTTTTAGATAATGATCTACATATCTTTTCTTGCAATACATCCCAGAGAATGGCGTTGCACTTCATGCAACTGCTTTCATTATTATTGTTTTCATTATATTAAGTTTGCATTTCAGCACTTTGCATCTAAGATAAATTATTGTGGTATTCATGTTCTAATTAGTTGGTGACAGTTTCATGCGGATTGCTAATGTGTCATGTAGATTGACGAGTTGATAATATATTTATCCTTATTACTTTGTAAATAGACAATAAATATTAATTACTTATTGTTATACCCCAATTTTTACCCCTAAGATCCCTTGTCACATCATATACATCTTACGCATATCATCGATTCCATGATTACGGGATCAAAGCGCTCTTTGGCATTAGGGTTTTTCCCTATGGGTTGAGGTTGCTTGTGACACCCCAAATTAATTCAAGTGTTAAATAATTAGAAATTTAATTATTAAATTAATTAAAGGCTTAATTAATAATATTTTGGATTAAATGGATGAATTAATTATGAAATTAAAAAGGAAGACCGGGGGGTGTAAGGTTGAATTAGAGGTGTGTGAAGTAAAAAGCTCTACTAAATAATAACTAATTTATTACTATTATTTGGAAAATAATAAAAGGAATATAAAAAGAAGGATAAAAAGGAAAAGAAAAAGAAGGTTATTTGGAAAAAAGTCATATACGTGAAATTGGAGAAGAGAAGAGAAGAGGGGAAAAAGCCAAACGCCGTGAATTCGAAGGATCATCGCGAGGTAAGGGGTGATTTCGATTAATTACTATGCCTTATAGATTTTGGGATCAATAGAATTGATTAAGCATGTTAGGAATCTCAATTTAGGATTTTCTAGGTTTGTAGAATTTGTCCCTAATATTGTCAAATTGTGTGGAATTGAACCAATTGCATGATATAGGATTGTTAGGAATGGTTGAATTGTGTTATTTGACATTATGTTGATGTTATTTGGGTGATTCTGGTGTTAATTGATGTGGTCATTCGTATGGGAATGAAAAGGAATGGATTGAGATACAAAATGCTATCAAAATAGCAGTTTTTGGCTCTGCAGGTCGTGGGAACCGGTTCCCAGTGGGGAGGAACCAGGTTCCACTGTGTGTAGTTATGAAATCTGGCAAAATTGCACGCAGGAACCGGTTCCTGTATAGGTAGGAACCGGGTTCCCATACAATTTCCAGAAAGGTGAATTTTGAACTTCGCAGGAACCGGTTCCTGTATATGTAGGAACCGGGTTCTGCTGTAACTTTTTGAAAAATATTAAACTTTGAAAATTCATAACTTTCAAACCTAAGTCCGATTTGAGTGCCGTTTTCGGCAGTATTTCTTAAATTAAAAATACTATCTTATAAAATAAGAAAAATATTATTTTATGAAAATTATTTTAAAAAGAGTCGAATTCCCGATTTTTGTAAACTTTGGTATTTTGAGAATGATGTAGAATTGTTTGTAAATTGTTCTGATTTGGTGAATGAGAACTGATACTTATGTGTTGTGCCTGCTATCCATTATGATTGAGATGTGATCATGTGATATATTGGTTTTGGCATTATTTGGAATTATGTTGTGATCATATTCCGTTGATTTGATGTTGCATGCTGGTGATGTGCATGCATATGCATTGTTTTGGTGAAGTTAATTCCCATTGTGTGGAATTTGACTTGTATTGCCGTTAACCGATACCCGGGTGATGATGGGTGGTTAGGCCGGATTCGTGTCCGAGTGTCTATGGATGAATCGATGGTTGTTGTATCCGGTTGATGATGGATCAGTGTTGGGTGACTTGGTCACGTGTTGGTACCACATGCATTGTGTCTGCATCTGTGTTTGCATGGAATTGTAACATGTTAGGATGTCTTCCAGTGTTACAATTCTTTGGTTGATTATTGATTTGTGCATAATGACTTGTATGATTGAAACTGTGTGTTGAATCTGGATTTATGCTAAAATGGGTGAAATAATATGCTTGTGATATAATGTTAATTGAGAAGCTTATAATGCATGTTAATTATGAGAAATCTCACCCTTACTTTAATGATTTCAGATTAAAGTTAGCAGCTAAGGAGTTGGTGAGGATGGCTCTAGAGCTATGTTACTTTAAGTCCGCGTGTCAGTGTCGTGCTCTGATAGGTTGTAACACTGGGGGAAACGTTTGAATGATGAGTTTTATTTTATACTCTATTGTTTAATTTATGTTGGGAATACTTATGAAGTGAAGTTATTCCGGTTTTGAGACATTTCCGCTGTGTAGAACATGATGTTGATTTGAATATTTATCTTAATAATTCCTTCAGTAAAGCATGACAACTGTAGATTTGAGGTTTTTATATTTATCTTCGATTGTGACATCCCTGTTTTCCATGTTACTCTGATTTAATTAATATATTCGCGGGTTATTTAGAAGGGGTGTTACATTGCTACCTTTCTCAAGCTGGTTCAATTGGTTCTCTCATTATTCTTGCTGTGGAACTAAGGTTTTGGGTTATAATCACCATTGATGTCTTCATAGACAAGATTTCTCAAGGGTTAAAGACTCGAGCGTCTTGGGTTAGGGTTTAGACACTATATTCAAGAATATCCGACGAACACTCGAGGTATGGAGGATTGTGGTTTTAGTTAAGGTTCATTGAATTAGGGTCATTTTTATGTCTATTCTGACATGCTTTCCTTCAACTTCTCAAGCTTGAACTTCATTTTAAGACTTCTCCTAATTGCTTGTGTTACAAACCGAGATCATATGCTTTATGTTTAAAAAGCTCGAGAAGCTTTAATCAGAGCATGCAGATCATTTTGAGGCTTATGAATCAAGGTTTATCTTCTTATAGTTGTGTTTGCCATTTGGTTAAAGGTTTGATGCATTGGTTTTGTTTAATGAAGAAGTGTCATATTATTTGAGCTATGGATCAAGGTGTCATTTATCTATCTTTCGTCAACTAAGATTTTCTTCTTCAAAGATTACTCCAAGAAATTGCTATGATATTGATTGTCGATGTCGAGGGCTTGAGATGAAAATATTTATGATAAAATATATTATTTACATCTCATTTGTTCTTTATTTGAGATGAAAATATTATGATAAAATATATTATTTCATAGTGTAAATGATTATTTTACAATTTCTATCAATTTTTAATTGGGAGTGTGATTGACTTTGTTAATGTATTAAGCTTATTTTAATTGTTGAAAACTCATAGGATGTTTCCAAACCTCTTAATTACCAACCAGTTCAAACCTATAATACTATTTACAAATTAATGAACCAAATTTTCATGCCACGCTAGAGAGACTAAACATATTCATTTGTTTTTTTTTTCTTTCTTTCTCTCTTTTCATTCTTAATACTAGTTATACTATTACTAATCATACACATATTATTAAATTTGACCATATTCCAAGTTGCGTGTATTTGACTAGGACTTCATATTTCAACTGACTAGTCTTCTCTGACTGCAACAAATCAAGTTGCATGAACTTTTTCCCTTACCATATCCACCACCTATTTAACAGACACAGTTTCCATGCATTTTCTCACACACTACATCACACTCCATTTAAAGCAATCAATAGAACAACTATATATCATGATGAGGAAGAGTAAATCAGGTCCTAAAATTGTTCAAATTGAAACAAGATATGTCCAAACCGATGCAGTGAACTTCAGAGACGTTGTTCAAAGCCTAACCGGAAAGAATTCCTCGACCGACTGGATCGGTCGAGGAAATAACGATGCAGCCGCGGCCACGGCCGCGGCAGCTACTGAAATCCAAGAAGGAAATAATAAGACACAAGAAGTGGTTATTGATACAAGTTCAACATCTTCAACAAAGCTAATGATGATGAGCAACATGTCATTCAAAGAGTTTGAAAGATTAGTGTTAGAGTTGCCTCCCATTCAAATGGAAGAGATGCTATGGTTATAGAACTATTGTTTTTAATTTATTCTTGTTTTCTTTCATCTTTTTGGAAAAATTTGCAGTGAGATGATAATAGAAACAATTTGCAATTGCATATACGACAGATAATTGCTTTTACACTTTTTTATTTTATCTATTTTATGATTTGATAGATAATTTATGTAATTATTGCCGACAAAATGTCACATGACAAGAATCACTTAATATTTTATTTGATAATAAAATGAGAAACATAAAAAAACTTATTCACCCACATCAAAGAACTATTTTGAAAAAACACAACAAAAAAAAGAAAAAAAATTAATGACTCGTAAAAAATTATTAAGTAACAAACCATAAATTAAAAAAAAAATATATGAAGAATTGTAATATATATACTACTAATTTTTAAATTAAAAAAAAAAACACACATATGTAATGTTTAAAATTACTAATATTTTCTAATAATTATTTTTATTTGATTAATATAAGTGATATAAGTTTGTAAGATTCATTCATAGCCACATTCATGAAAAGGTTTGTCTAATTATCCGCAAGTGTACGTGGTGGTATTGTGTCCATGCAGTGAGTGTTAGTTAACTAAGTCAAAAGAAAGAAAAGATTTTCAAATATTTTTTTAAAACAATTTATAAATATAAATATTATAGGAAGATGAAATAGATAGATCTTGGAATGGATATGACCTATAATCTTAATTTTTCATATATTATTTTTGTCTATATTTTCCAAAAATAACTTATGTTTTAGCTGCTTGCAAAAATGGTTGATGCTATGCTATATAGTTGAAGATGACTTATATTAACGAAATAGTGACGTGACTTTTCCACAAAATGGCGACGTCATATTAAATTTATGTCCACAAAAATCGAATATCCATTCTTCAATAGTCAACCAAGACAACCTCCTCTTCCATCTTCTTCTTTTTTTTATTTAATAAAAAAATAGTTTATAAAAAACATTTTTAAACTAAAATAAATATTAGTTTTTATAAAATACTATTATAATTTTTTTTAAATGTTAATAGTTTCTATTGATAAAGTGTTTTTTAAATATTTAATAAATTATTTTTACAAAATGTTCTTTTTAATAAATCTCGACTCAAAAATTTCTTTAACTCAGTGACTAGTTTATCTCTCAAAAAAAGCACTTTGAATTCAAAACACATCTTCTTTCAACTTTTGATTTATTTGAAGTGATTTTGTAGTGTGGAGGTTGCCAAAATCTTAAAATTGAATAAAGTGGGGGCATCCATAAGATATGTTGTTTATTGAGAGTGAATTTTGATTTTGCATGTGTGTCGTATCTCAAATTCGTCGTACAGATTTTCAATCATTTTTTATCAAACTCTATAATTATCTTTTTCCTATTAGAGAATTAATGGACTTTTCTAAATCAAAAAAGCCCATGTAAAAATTCAAGTCTTGAAGGATTTATTTTATTAAGAGTTCTTGGACTTTTCTAAATCAGAAAGGCCCATATGAAATTGAAAGTCCATTCGATTTCTCTTGCAAGAGGGAGGTATCACAGTTAGGTTAAAAAGCCCAGTGCGTTTCAATCAACGTTTGTAATTTCAGTCAATTTCAAAGAGGGGCTTACATTGTTAATTTTAGACCTTTCTAAATCAGAAAGATCCGTTTAGGTTACATAAGGTTGAAGGATGCATTTTTATAGAGAGAGGATGCACGCTATTGAAGAAATCTTGGACCATTTATAAATCAGAATGGCCCATTTAAGTTGAAAGGTGTAAAACAAATCACTTTGTTTAAGGCCCAATTAGACAAATAGGCCCGTTTCATTTTTTGTTTTTTTTAGGAAATTATATTTATTTTTATTAATTAAAGATTGTAGCAGTTTTTTGAAAAAAAAACATTAACTTAAATGAAGACTTCATGCACGGTCCATTGCATGGCTCGGTGCAAATACATTACAGGCCCAATATAAGCTAGGGAGGTCCATAAAAAGTCTTTTTTGAGGCCCAATAATAAAACGGTATGGCCCGTTCAGTCTGCTGAACTATTTTGAAAATTATTTTAACATTATTACTAAACATTACTATTACTCCATTAATTATTATTATTACTATTGTTTTTAAGATCATTATTATAGAACATAAATAAAATAATAATAATAATAATATATTTATTTTAAATATTATCGGAGAGGCTCACAAGCCCAAACCCTTTCAATGCCCAGTTTAAATTAGGAAAAAACGTGTGGTCCAAAACCTAAAAAACAAACATTGTGTAAATCATTGAAAGAATAGCGCACAAACACTCACTTAAATTAAACAATATCTTTATATCTAGAACAACCGAACCGAATACAGAAACATAATCAACCAAATACAGAAACAGAATTAATTTGTAGAACATAATCAGACTAATTTGCAACAAAATTAATACATAATCGAGACAAATTACAGACAAATTAAAACATTTCCTAATTTCCTAATCAATGGTAATGACAAATTCAAATTGTTTCCTAATACAACTAACTCAAAAAACTATAAAATCTAAGACAGAAAGGGGGGACGGAGGATAAAAGAAATTTACAGAAGAAATATTACAACAAAAAAAAGGAAATCAGAAGAGAGTAGGAGATCCGATTGTGCCGCTGTTAGCTCGCAAATCCGCTGCTCCAACTTAGGGTTTCATCATCTGAAACCCTAATTATCCTTGAAGCGCCGCCGTACCTCCGCCATCATCATTATCCTTTGTACCTATCGAACACAAAGATAGAAGATCAGGAACCAGATCGAAAAAGGATCAGAAAAGAACACTGAGATTCATCGTAATAGAGGCAACTCTCACGTTACATAGCTTTTGTGATTTCTTTATTTCTGTTTTGTGGAATTGTTAAGGGATTTGGGGGGTTAGGATTTTATTTGGGGTCAGAATTGGGGAAGATCCCCGATGATTATGGCTCGTGGGTAGCAGCAGCGGTTAGGGTTTTGATGTGTGTTTAGAGAGAACGAAGGGGTATGAGCAGAAGAGGAGGAGATAATGAAAATGAGTAAAGTGTTTTACAAAATTATATTATGACCTACGATCCAATGCGTGTCGTTCCATGTTCCCTATCATGAACTCTCTATCATGTCCACTTGATCTGAATCCAATGTCCCTGATGCGCGTGCCCGTGGCCTTACGGTATACCCACCTGCATAGAGTCCAAACAGACTCCTAACCATTTGGGCTAGGCCCAGTTACTACCCGCACACCCCTCTGTTTTATTTTACTAAATTGCGCAAAAAAAAACGTACCCCCTTAGCCTTATGGGCCCAGTCCAAAATATGGACTTGGGCCCTTACTGCTCATACCCCCAGATTTACTAATACGCCCATATGCAAAATCCCATCTGTCTTATTGGGTCTGAATTCAATATCTGAATTCAGGACCCTAATACTTACACCACCCCCCCCATTTTTACTAGCCTGACCTAATTTGCACCCCCTGCGTTTTTAATTATTTTATTTTCATACTTTATATTATTTTTATATTTTATATATTTATAGATTATTTTAATATTATATTTACTATTATTGTTATTAAATCAAATATTATTATTTTCAACTCATTCAAATATATGTTATTTATTTGCATTAAAATTATTTTTAATCATGCATTTAAAATAAGGTATTTTCTACAAATAATACATAAAAAACATTTAACCAACACTAAATTATTTTTCATAATTAAATTAACTCAACAATTAATTTTCGAAAAGAATTACAAATATATTTTAATTAACTACGCGCTTGGTCCAAAATCTCTGTTATTCACACAACCAAACTAAGTACAAGGAGAATTAAAATATCCGCGTAATCCATAAAAAACACAAATTCATGCGAACTACGAATTGAGACTCTGATTCCTCATAAGAGGATACATAGGCATACGACTAAAATCGTGGCGAGTTCTCCTAATAAAATATTAAAACCCTATTTCCTAAAAACAATTGCGCTTCTAACCCTAGTATCCTTGTGAACAAGGTATATGAGGGGTGCCTAACACCTTCCCTTCGTCTAAAACTGAATCAAAGACCTAAAATATCTAACTTTTTAGGGTTATCCTTCATATTCCCTTTGTTAGGATAAAAATTAAGGGTGGTGACTCTTATTTTAAAACTAGTTGCAGCAGCTGGCGACTCTGTTGGGGATTCAACCCTAGGTTTAGAAGCCTTTCATTTTAGTTTTAGGGTTTTTCTTAATTTTAGGGTTTTAATATTTGTTTATTTCATTATTCATTTATTTTTTTGCTTATCGTATTTGATCATGTTATTATATTTGTGGTGGGATTTAAATTTTGCAAAAAATATTTTTTTTTTAAAAACCTTAGAAAGAAGGTTCGTCTATTAGTCAAGGGGTTACATTATCCCTATGAGTTTATGTGACGACTTCGCCTAGAGTTGGTGGAGTTCTGCGAAAGGAATACGTCTCAAGAGACATCCTCTTGAGAAGTAGGACTTTGGAATAAAACCTATGACTCTTTGTACAACCTTTAAACCAAAATCTCATGATGAGACCTTTCATGACCTAGAGACAAATGTTTCGGTCTGTAAAGAGGCTCCACATGAGGGAGGCCCTTATGCCTTTCCTTATCGTGTTATTCATGATACCCTTAAGGGAACCACCTAATGGGGAGGGTAGGATATCCGTAGGCTAAAACTAGGAGCTTACATTCTAAGGGTACCATTCATAAAATCCCATCACTAAGCCCTACATTCATGCATTCATACATTTTTGTATTTCATATATTCATTATTCTCTATTTTATTTTGTTTGTCTTATTCACAGGGTTAAAAAAATATAATAGTCAAAGGTTTTGGTGAGTGTATTAAAGATGAATACCAAAGGGAAACAACTTTTCCGTATCAATGCCATCAAGCCAGACATGACAAAAATCAAGGCTATAAAAGAAAAATTATCTGAAAGGGCTATGAAAATGTTCACTCTTTGCTATGAAGATATCCTTGACTTGACTAAAGTAGAAGTACAATCGGATGTTGTT